GTGATTAACGACTCAAACACATGGCCACCTGCAGTGACTGCCCAAGAGATTGGACTATTGGTGCTCATGACTTAGTCCACAGCGTGCTTTGGTAACAATGTGCAGGTCGGCCACTCAGACCAGGGGCTGAAGGTGTGCACATCTGAAACCTCAGGGTATAAGCTGGGTGTTGAAGAAGGTGAGGTAAGGAAAGAGGCAGACCCTGTGAGGTGGGGTAGTGTTTCTTTTTTCTTACACAGATGACTGAGCTGTGGTAACTCCCTGGAAGATTCACACCTAGCCTGAAGATTTTCCTCTCTTGTTCATGAGCAAAATGGTCATAATGGACTCAGCTGCAATATCTTAGAAGGCTCACGAAGTATCCCGTTACTTCCAGTATTACATCATCCAGCATAAAACTCCCTGTGCCAGGGAGGTACCAGAGGCATTCCCATGCTCTGTGTTCCTGAGCACATATAACTCTGGGTTTCAGGGCTTTCTTCATCAGCCGGGGCTTTCACCACCACCTTGACTGATCTCTGAACTGCAGCCACCACTTTGACCAATGAACACTGAAATTGCAACAACCAAGTCTTATCACTGGATCCAGTAGGTGTCTTGTGGATCCTTCCAATCACCTGGGGGTCAGCAGTCCTGCTCCAACTGCCTGTACCAGCACTGCAGCCCCATTCCAGGGCCACACACACATCTGCCAGTATCGAATCCCAGCTATCTGCCATTTCCTGCCGGCACTGGCCCTCCAGCTATTCTTGCCAAATTTTCTGGCTGTGGTGGAGGAAAATTACTTGGAAGGGCAACCATCTTGTCTCTGTTCTGTGTCCAGGTGTTTTCTCTGGGTGGGGGAGGCCAGCTACCATTTTGATTTGGTTCAGTGGGCAGAACTTGGAAAGTTTCTCCACACCATTTGGTTTAACACAGTTTTATCAGTATCGTTATCAGCATTCTTCTTGGTAAAGAGTTATTTATTTCACTTACATCTGGGCATATTTGGTCTCTACATATTGGAGAAAACAGGGGTATTGAATTCAAGGGAGAGATATTGAATTCTACTTCTTTCTATATGAGTTCTCTGCCCTTCCAAATTGTCTCAACTGAGACACACTGCAGACCGTGACTCTTCACATCCATCAGAACCTCACCTCCTGCACAGCATTTGCCCACCACACAGAGTTAATCAGGGTCCAGAGTCTGCTTTTAATCTCACCTCTTCCACAATTCAGACTCACTTAGCCTTACTGAGCTGTAATTAAGAGGTTCCTTTGTTTAGGTATTTAGCATAACCTCTGGTTTACTCTTCATTCAGCAACATGAAGCCAAAGACTACATGCATCTAAAAGAAACACGTTGTAAACCACACATTGTATAAATGAACTGCCCTTTTGTGCTTATCTTATAAATAGCTAGTAAGTGCTTAATAACCACTTTAATTACAACAAAGGTATTTGTGGGAGACAAGCCTCAGCCATTAGTCCAGGTTATACATTGAAAATTACGTATTTGTATGTTTCTCATTTTGCACATCCTACTCTATCCAGTGAAAAAACATCTTTTGTGGACATCTGTTTATCTTTTGATGGAATGCACACTTTCTGCTTGTCAATCCAGTACCTGTTTGTCAGCCATACTCCCTAGTTTCTCATTACTTCAGAAAGGTATTACAATAATTAGACTTCATATTCTCTGTACTTTTCATATTTTTTCTATATTTTATATATATGCCATACGGAAACTGTGTACCCTTGAGACTGTGCTCCAAACATTGCTTTGCCTGAACTGTTTGTAAGTAATTTTTTTAAAGATTTAACAGATTTGTTTTCCTTTACCAATCTAAATATGCCAACAGATAGCTGTTTTACTGTCCTGGCATGTATTATTTTGCTTTTATCTCTTTTTATGAGAAGATGTAAAAATCATGAAGAAATACACACTGCAGATTGTTCAACTGAATAAATCCAGTTGAAAGTCATAGTGGTCAATTCTATAATCCAATAACATTCTTATTGTATGAAGCAGAATGTTACTATTTTCACAGCATTAAAATTGTAAATTTTTTTATATCAAGCATTTTTAAATCCATATTTGTAGCTCTGAGTCTTCATTCTGCCAGTGCTCTATATTTAAACAAACCCTGTAATGAGTCTCTAAAACTATGCTATTAAAAACAAACAAACAAATCCAATATTTATTCTTATTTGTTTACAGAATGCAGGAACTCCTGGACTTCTCAGATCATACCTTGTATCAAAAGCCATCACAATGTGTTCAGAATAACCCATTTATTAAACTGACAGAACAGTTTGAAGTGCAGATTGGATTATTTGAAATACTTTTACAAAGTTGTGAAAGGGTGGATTAATACCTGTTCTCAACAGAATTCTAAGAGAAAAATATGGTTCACAGAACTTGTTAGTCAGATCTGTAAAAATAAATGTCAATACTTTCTGAAATGATTAAAGTCCTTTACTGCATGTAACATTAAGATCCCTAGGCCCCAGCTGCAGCATGAGCTTGACTCAGAACTTGAGGCTGTACCTAAAGCTCAGCAACAGAGAAACATACTGCAGAGTATTTCAGTAAGCAACAGCCTTAAAATGTGAGCATGCCTATCCACCTTTGAACCAGCATTTTATACTGGAGTCATCTGCTTATATCACAGAAACAATAACCAAAGAGGATCACAGCACTGTAGGGGCTAAATCACATCCCTATTTGGTGTCTCGAAGTGTTACATGGCACTGGCCATTAGTGTTCCCTCAGAGAGGGTTTCTTCAGTGTATCTTATGCTTCTTCCCATCTACTGTACCTATCCTACATAAAACGTGACAATTACCTATTGTATACATCCCTCTGGTGAGCATGGTGTGAAGAGTGAATGAGCTTTTATACTGTTTGAAAGGCAGGTAAGATGAACATCTTAGGGACTAGACCTCCCTTTTCAGTGAGCACAGCCATCATGCCCACATGGACTCCCACTGATTTCTTGAGGCTCAGTTGCCTTCATCCCTTCCACCCCAGCAGAACAAGTTTTAGCTCTTAGGTCTCATTAGGCAAATCAATGCATAATAACTAGTACTACTGTTATTATTAAAATTCAGGGAATAAAACTCATAACAGACGGTAGAGGAATTTTGTTTAATTCTAGAAAGTTGTGCACTTAAATATTTACTACAAGTAAATGCACTAAGTGGAAATTTGTCCCTAATATTTTTTCTTACTGGTTAATTCCTTCTGTGTCTGTCTCAGTATGTGAGAGCTTATCCAGTGAATATATAGTACTAAATCTCTTTTGCAAAGAAGTTAAATACTGTCCTTGGCTTTCTTGCTTTGCTACGCCTGTTTTGATCCTTCATGAAAAGACTAACCATCTCTACCATCCTCAGGAGATCAAAATTGCAACCCAAGATACCAAACATCAGGCAGTCAATTAAACAGCAAATGTGTATCTGAAAATGCTGACTAGACAGGTTCTCTTGAGCTAAATTAGGAATTAATTCACCCCAAATTCAGCTATTTTTTCCTTCAGGACACAAAAGCACTTGAATAAACACCCAAGAAACTGTCAATAAAGGACTACCATTGAAAACAATCTATGTTGCTTTCAGAGAGGGACAGGTATTTCAGGACCAATTGTTCCTTCTGTCTCTCTTTCCTTACTTTCCCTAACCCCATCAGAAAATCAACTAGGCATCATCCTTTCTTTTTTATTTTTCTTTTATTATAGTGCAGGAACAAGGTCTGGGTATTAAGATCTTTGTATGGTAGATTTCTAGAGATGCTCTGAATCAAACTAGCACTGCAAATATTCTGGTTTTATACAGGCAAAAGGTTTCCTTTTATACCTCTAGCATTCTGGAAGGTGGCTGTAGCTCCTCCTACAGACCACTGAGTTCAAGTCCACCACCTGATCTAAGTGGACACATTTTTGGACAAGTCATAATGCAGTGTTGTCAATACTTCCAAAAATTTCTATTTCTCTTACAGCCCCAAATTCCTGTAGCTGTCCAAATATCTCCACTTTTTGCCTAAAACAACTTCCAGTCCCTGTGGGTTACCCAGAAAAGACCAAATGTGACCAACACAACATAGCATCTTTAAAAGCTAAGTACACAGACCCCAAGGAATATGTAGCCTAAAAACATCATTATCATTAGACTTCACCTTCTGTCACAGGACCACAAGCTAGAATTGCCTTGAAGTATGAGTCCTTGTATGCCTTTTCTGCCTGAGGCTCTTATTCTTCCCTTCAGTCTCATCCATTTCTCAGATGCTACTTTTGCAAGATATACTGTCAGTGACAGCTGAGCAGCACACCGTTAGAACAACCTCATCAGTTTCGTTATGAATCTCTTCAGTGTTTGAGAGAGGCATACTGCATGCAAGTGCACCTCTCTGAAGCACATGAAGAAAACCATGGAGTTCCTAGTACTTTATGCCAATGCTAATGTCTTACAACCACCTATGAGTCTCCAGCTCCCCTTCATGCGGTGCTCTTTTATATAGTTTGTGGGGCATCACATTCACCATTAATCAGCAGTAAAAACTGGAGCCTGCCTCAGAAGAAAGGTGTGTCCAGGTTTTCTCCTCAGTCCTGTACTGTATCCTAAACCTCTCTTTTCAGTGTCCTGGCCCACTGGACTGGAAATCATTAAGAACAATAAAAAGTTCAAAAAACTACTTACTGTTGGTGAAGAAAGATGAGAACCCAGATTATTTTACCACAAATCTGGATGTTGTATGAATTTTATTTTTTTTAACCCCAGAACCAACTTTTCCTGTCTGTATTTCAGAGTAGGCATTTCAAAGGAGGGACTGAGGCTTAAGTCAAAACTATGCATGGGATGTCCCAGGCACCTGGTTAGAAATGAAAGAGCAAGCCTATTTAAGTGGAATTGTGGACAATTGAAAGGGGGAGTAGGCTTGCAATCTGCACTCCCTCCCCCAGACCACTGCTGCTTGACCCCACAGGAGCCAGGCCTCTGGGACTGTGCCTGTTGCCTTACCCTAGAGGTAGGCTCCATTCTCCAGGGCAGATGAATGCTATGTGTGGCATCACCAGCACAAGGCATGCTGGGGCACCACATGGAGGGAAGTTGGCAATTGCGTGTAGCTGCTCTTGAAGAACCTGGAAATAAGGGGGGGAAATACAGACTAAAACAAACAAAAAAAAATGTAAAGAAATAGGCTTCTCTTCTGTTTATATTGAGGTGCTTCCACAAAACCATTTCTTTGGCAAGTTTGCAACTGCCTCACTGTATTAATAACACCTTTAACAAAGTTTGAGCTTTCCCTCTTCCCACCAAGAATTTTCAAAAACCTAAACCCAATCACATGCTCTTAGTTTGTTAGGATTAAAATGAAACTCAAGCACAGTGCAGAAAGCATCCTTTCAAGGGATGGAAAGTACCAAAGCTTGAACATCACAAACAAAAATATTAATGTTTCCTTATTCTTTCCTAATTGCCTATTCTGGTTTAGAGAAAGCTAAGTGATTGAAGAGTGCTTAACAAACAGCAGTCCTCTTTGAGTGGCATGCAGTAAAAGTTAAACCCTGTCCGCTCCTAAACTGACTTCCCAGAACAGATACAGAGCATTTGGATCCAAAGGGGTTTTCTGTATAATCTGGGAAGCTCTTGACCCCATGAGACCACAGGATACCTGCCTGAGAGGGTTAAACGTGGTCACAGACTTAATGTGGATTCAGAACCCAACTTTGGTCCTTTCGCAGGATTATTAAGGCAGGAGGAAAGGCAGGAGGAAGAACAGGAGGAAGGAGGGCGGACCACGACTCCGTCTGCAGCGCGTCTCGCTCCGGGGGACCCCGTACCGGCTCTGCATCTCCGTCCCTCCCCGGCCCACGCCCGGGAAAAGTCCTTTGGACATCGTCATTCTCCATCGGCCAGCTCCACCCCAGGCACGTCCCGGCACAGCCTTCCCGGCTCCCCCGCCGCGGGGGCAAGGGACGGGGTCACTCCGTTTGGCTGCGCCCCTGGGGAAGCCCCCCCGGCCAGTCCCCGAGGGGCTGCCGTGCCGCCCCGTCCCCGCCAGCACTCACCATATTACAGATGGAGGCGATGTTTCTGACAGTCATTAGTCTAAAGATTGCAGCGATCCCACACCGCCATCTTTATAAGGTGAAAACAGCCCCGCTCATGGTGGGAAGAGCGCAGGAAGGGATAGGGGGCGGCGGCGGCGGCGGCGGCGGCTTCAGCTCCGGGGCTGGATAAAACCAAGAGGAGGGGACTGCACAGGCACCCTTTGCGCCTGCAGAGCAGTGAGAAGGACGGACCTTCCCGGCCTCCCTCCCCCGGGCGGGTCACCGAGAGTTTCAGCTACGCGGGGAGAGCGGCCGCATCTCCACTCCTTCCGCCTCTGCCTCTCGCACGGTCCGCAGGGCCCCGGGCTCCCGCTGGTGCGCTCAGCCGCGCCTCTGCGCCAGCCGGCACCGCGCTAATCTCTCCCTTCCTCCTCCTCTTCCTCCCCTCCTGGCGGCTGCCGCTCGCCGCTCCATTGCAGCGCCGCGCCCGCTGACCCGCTCTGACAGCCTGGGGAAGGAAGGGAAGGGGAGGAAAGGAAGGTCAGAGGCAGTGCCCGTCGTGCGGCAACCCCGGCGGGGCGGCCGCCGCCGCAGCCAATGCGCTGAGGGGGCGCGGGGGGGCTGCACCCGCCGCCCCTCCACACGGGCGCTCCCAGGAGGGCCCTGGTACCTCAGTCGTCGGGTCTGGGATGGCCACGAGGCTTCAAAACTCGGGCCTCAGTGAGTACAAAATAATATTGCAGGTAGTATGGTGAAGGACAGGAAGGCAGAGTGCAGGCAGAAGAACATGGATGTGTGGCAGTGACGGTGGCACTTTGCTTTAGGACACACTCTCTCCACCTGATTAGAGTTACACAGGAGCCCAGGTACTTACAATCCCTTGAACAGTAGTCTGGAATGTAATTTGCTGCCCGCAGTTGATGCTTTCTATTGCCATTCATGCAGATAACATTTATCTTCACAAATGCTGCTTTGGGAACGTGTCCACACCACCTGTCCTAGTGCTCACTCACAAGTTCACAACATGTGGCACCATTAAAGCAGTAATCTCAGTTTCCCTTCAAACAGAAGCAAGTCGAGGTCCATGAGGTTCTCCAAGGCAGAGCAGTATGAGTGTATTAAGTTTACACACTAATAGGCACGAGGTTGTTAGACAGCTAACTTGAGGTCACACAGCAAATCTCTGAGAGAAACAAGAATGGAGTTCAGCTAGGGGAATCCTCATCTTAGAATTCACCTTTTCCTTAGAAGATATTGCTGTTTTCAGCAGAAGCTTAAGGCCTGTTTGTTGTTCCTCTGCTATGCTGAGGTAATCATTCAAATGAAGAGAGAGAATTGCTAACATTTCTACAGGCACCTCTGCTCCCAGCAGCCCCTGAAGTACAGCATGTTTGTGCTTGGCCATACTTTTTACTGTGTGATACTAGAATATAATAACTTCAGCCTCTAAAGCCTGGCTCCACAGGCTTTATTTCCAGGAAATATTCCAGAGTCAGTAATTTTATTTTTATTTCTAGAGAAGGTCTATGATTACTAATAAAAATCTGGCATCAGCAGTAGCATCTAAAGATAAATTCCTGCCCTGAGAATAAGTTTAGGTGAGTGGCCTCCATCCAGCTCCTTGTGGACAAGTGTCTACTTTATAAAAATGGTATCAAATTTGGCATTAGTTGGCCTCCTGTTGACAGTTTCAGCAAAGAAACTCAAAATGCAGTTAGTTGTCACAGAGAGAGAACTTTCTTTCCTTAGTAAGTTGGATTAGTTATATTAAATCACTACAGACATTTGAAATACAGAATGGAGAAAGATTTTCAGACATAAGAGAGTGAAGTCATCAAGGTCACTAAACTTTTGTGTAAATCCACAAATCACTACACAAAAGAGCCATCAAATAACATAACACTGAGGAAAAAATAACCTTTGGTATAGTTTGTTAAATTCATAATTTTAAATTATGTGTGAGTTTGATCCCAAGTGTTTAATTTGCTTAAAGTCAGAGGGTTGGATTACATGTAATATGACAGGTTTTCTCAGCATAGCTCTGGGAAATGGGAGTTAAGCTGAGGTGTCGTTGCAGGACTGGCCACTTCCAGCCTCAGTTCTGAAGCAGTCAAGGCTTGACCAGTCTCCAGTGCATTTCTAAGTAGCCTGCAGACTGGACAGTACTGCACTGTACCTGATTTTTAAGCTCTGATTCCTTTTATTTCTGAAGCCTAATCATGTATTCTTTACTACAGCCAATTTATTCCAATTTACTGTAGAAAATCACACTTGCTCTCAGTGAAAAGTTATGGAACAAGTGAATGGGTTTGAAAGGTGATTAAAAATTTAAATGAAACAAAATGCAGTGTCTAATAAAGCCATTTGCTTCACATAGATTTTAATGTCAAGGACATTATTTCCATAATATGAACACCAGAGAAATGATACAGAGTAAAGGGGGGGGGGAAGGTAAGGAAAAGGTGGTATTCTCATAATTTTGCTTTCTGACTGATGCCAATTACTTGACTTCAGGGTAAATTTTTAGATTGTTTCTGTTTGTTAAACTTTTTTTTTTTTTTAAATATGAAATTAAACTGCTACTAGTTAAGCACTTGTTAGTTGTTGAAGGAAATATTTGTAAACACACACATCATTCTGTGAATAATTCAGTATTATTTTCCTTAATGCTAATATAAATAGTTCCATTTAAAGGGGACACATTTAATGTCCCACTTCTGAGGATTAATAATAAAAATAGGAAATACTGTATGAGTGTTTATGTGTCAGTTTGACAAAAGTTTTGCATTGTTTTTTTTGTTCTTCAGTCACATATCAAACCAACAAAGAAGAAACAAACATTCAGGATTGAAATGTACTGGTGTGTGTTTTTGTTTTCTTCTGCTGTTGTCAATTTCAGGACTAGAAACTTTATTTCTGTAGTTTTTTGAAGATAAAAAAGTGCTAAACAATGCAACAAATAGTACTTACAAACATTATAGGAACTGCATAAATAAAGAACAGTGCACAATTGTTTCCACTCTAAAGCATTGCACTGTATCTTCAAAACAAACAACTAAGCCTGTGTTTCTTCCAAGTGTTAGACAAAGAGAAGGAAAACAAAGGACTATTTATAACCTAAGAGTAGTTATATAATTTCTGTTGAAAGGTCAAAAAAATTCCTTCTACATTTAATTTTAGATCTGTCTTGGTCTCGTCTGGTTATACACTTCAACATTTTTATTTTGCTAGGTAGAATAAGAATCTACTGTAAATATCCTCTTTGACTAGCAGAGGCACGGACTACCATAACATTTTCCGTCTGACTTTCTCAGAGTGCTTTGCAAGCATTCTCTCAAACTGTTAAAATCTTTGGTGGCACGTTAACATCAGCTTCTTTTACAAAGCAAAAGAAACAGGCAGCAGAAATTCAGCAACTTGTCCAAAGTTACGCTGCAAAGTTAATAACAAATCTGGGACTAGAATATCTGCTCACTCCGTATTACAAAGAGGATATTGCATTTCCTCTCCAGAAATCTTGGAAAATTCCACATAGGGTTCATTGATGTTTTTCTTGTAATAACTTAGTTCCAGAAATGGGTAATCATCAGTCTATTTTGCTGAACAAGTGTTTGGAACAGATTCAAATTTAGGATATATTTCCAGCAGATTAAAAATACAGTATTAATTGAAAAGTCAGTAAGAACAATACTAAGGTTTTCTGGAAGCTTGAAAAATATATAATAAGAATTAAAAGATAATTCAGACATCAGAAATAATTTCAGTGCTGACACTGTAGGTTTAGAATTTTACAAAGTTTTTTTTTAATATATATTTTGTATCTCATTTTAAATTATGTTCTACTAAAAACTATATTTTACTAAAAATAGCAATATACCTTTAACAGGATGGCAAATATACAGACACAAGCATGAGGGATAAGGATTTTCCATGAAGCTGGGCCCCAGCTGCAGAACAGACTGGGAGCTTTAGTACAATGCCAAATGTTAACTTGCAGTCCGTGGACTGAGTCTGTAGTGCATGGCTCATAGCAGGTCCATGGAAACTACTCCATTTGTAACTGAAATTCTAATGGTGAGAGGGAGTTGCTGTCCATGAAAAATTCATGGAAATCCACAGGAAATGTGGGGAGTCTACAACCAAAAAATCAACCCAACTTTGGAATCACTATTCTTCTTCATGACTGTTGTCTTCAAAGCAACCTCTACTAAATATTTTCAAGTTATCTGAGAAATTATATCCCTTAATTCAAAATACTGTAAAGCTTCATATTTTTGTGACAGTATGACTTGGTAGCATTCTAAAGATAAAGCACAGAAAACAAAACTTTGCTTAAATTCATCTCTGAATCTTGCTTATCTTTTTGCTATTGTAAACATTATACTAGCTGGCAAGTCCACATCTGACCCTTGCTAGGACAGTAGTTCTATAGGGAGGGTTTAGAAAAGGACAGACAGGTCAGGTAGTCTCTGCATTCCTCCTCTTGAAGTTGTGCTACTATCAGACGCAACAGTAAGCTTCATGGAAGCAGAGAGAAGGCAAACAATACAAAGTTTGCATGGAAAAGACAGAAGAAAGCTTTTGCAGGGCAAGAAAAAGGTATAGGATTACGTGAATGATTAAAATGCTCATCCTGGGATGGATACTGATCACTGGTTTTCTGTGCTAATGAAAGTGTCAGTTTACATTCTGTACTGGAAAAGAAGAAACTAAACTTGACATAAATCCCACTGGCACAAGTGGTAAAAAATTTAAAGGTTGAATACCATTTGTCTTTTTTACTACATTACAGAAAAGGACTGATCTGATTCAGGTGTCTGACTGTAGAAAACGGTCATTGCAGAGAACCCCACTTGAAATAACCTGAAACTATGTGTCTCACAAATTCATCTCCAGAGACTGACTTACCTAGAGTCCTGAGACAACTTTCGAATCCTGATGTTCTGACCATAAACTTAACTGGCACAGGGACTACAACTGCAACAATGTTTTGAATTAGTCAGAAGTAACTAGAAGTGATAAGAAACAATTATGAGAATCATCCCTTCATTGCAACTATGTGACTGTTTGTTTCAGGCTGAATCATAGTGGTTTTGATCTGCTGAGGGTAGTTTAAATGCAGAGTCCGGATTAAGGTCAGAGGCCCCCCTGTTACTTTCTTTCCACACACTCAGAGGAGCTGTGCTGACAGTAACTCGGCATGAGCCAAGACATCCCAGTTTCTTACCGAGACAGGAAGCTATGAATTATCTTCAATACATACACCTTTTTCAGCAATACATACAGCTTTTTGTGAAACAGGGACTTTCATTCAATTCAGTTTGGACAATGCTCTCAGGAACACAGGGTGATTCTTGTGGTGTCTTGCTCAAGGCCAGAGGTTGGACTTGATGATCCTGATGGGTCCTTTCCAGCTGAGCATATTCTATGATTCTATATAAAGTCTCTGTGTTACAAATTACTAATTCCCAGTTTATGCTCTTCTGCTCACACTCACCGCAAGCCCTCTCAGCAGCATCCCCAGCCGGGCAGCCCATTTTAGCTGGGGCAGAGCAGCAGCAGTGCTCTGCACCCACGCTGAGAGCTGCCTTGCAGGACGGGCCTGGTGCCACCGTGTCACCCGTGCCCTGCAGCCCCGGAGCGAGCTGCATGTGCTCTAACAGGGGCATTAGCGAGGATCGGGGCTTTTCCT